GTAGCGCAGTCAGGAGACCAGTGGGGCCAGGCTTCTCTGGCTCGGCTGGGCCTCTCTGGCCAGGGAAGGAGCATGCGGAGCCTGGAGCAGCAGCTGGAGCTGGGCTGGGGCCGCTAGGGATGGCCTTCTGCCCCGGGCCACTCTGCAGAGAGTCAGACCGGGAGCTAGGCCTGTCTTCTCGTCTGTAAAATGGGTCCTGTCACAAAGTTACTGTGACAGTCCACGCACATTTCGGATGTAAAAACGCTTTCGGTTTCCTTTTGAGGGCTCTTGCAGCTTTAAAGGTTCTAGGATTTTTTTCCCCTTGCAGTCCTTCCCTGAGATTCCTCAGGGAAAGGAAGTGAGGCCTACTGCACACTTGCTGTGTGTGAGACGCCTGGGTGCACGGCCTGGAGAGATGGTATGTGGCTTAAAGCACATTGGCCGCGGAGCCAGACAGCCTGGGTGTCCTGACTCCAGCACTTAGCGGCTGTGGGACCCGCGGCAAGTCCATGCACTCCTTGTGCCTCAGCTTCACCTTCTGCCAAAGTGGACCGATGGTGCCTACCTCAGGAGGGGATTCTGAGAACCTGAACCCGGGGATGGCTTTAGGTTCGTTCTTATGTACTGTTTCCCGTCATCCCCTTGCTGACGTGATGTTGTGAGGCGGAAAGACGCGGAGGTTCAGAGCTGCAGGGTAGCTTGCTTCCCACCACCCAGCTGGTGACAGACAGAGCTGGAGGGTGAGCTGGAGTCTGTGTCACGGGGCCCCGGCTTTGTGGCCAGCGTCCGGACACCTGGCAAAGGAACGGCAAAGGCATTCTCCGCTGGGGCCGGGAATGGTGAGACTGCCTTACAGAAAGTCTACCTCTGAAAGTAGGTCATTCCCCTCTTTGTAAATCCAGCCCCTCCTCTTTGTCCTTCACAGACGACCAGGACCAGGACACCGAGGGGCCCGAGGTGCCGCCCCGTGAGCCCAGCCAGCCGCCCTTTCAGGAGCCGTCCAACTAGGCCCGGGCACTGGGGCCCGTGGGCTGGGGGCGTGGGGGTGTTACAGCAATGATATTCTTGTCCGTGTTCGGCCGTGTGTAGGAAGGAAGGATGGTGGTAGGTATAAGATGGCAGTTAATTTCCATTTCAAGACAGGAGGGAGGAGGGCGATTTCTAAAGCTCTCTCAATCCTGAGGTGTGGGATTGGCCAGGAGTGTGGAGGATGGTTAGCAGGGGAGGGCCAGGGCTCTGAGGATTGCGGGGCTGGTGGAAGCTCACGTTAGGAATGAATTTAACCAAGTCTGGGTTGTGTGGCTGTTAAACTCACTCCCAGGTGCAGTCTTTGATTTCCTCAGGCCCCACTCTAGCACAGGAGGCACCATCTATTTCAGCCTTCTGCTTCTGCCTCTGTTTGGTCCCAGCTGGGGGCAGCACAGACACCAAGCCCCCCACACATCCAGGTGGCCGGTGTGGGCAGTGGGGCCCTGGGCGCTGACAGCCGGTTCTGCAGCGTCCCTCCCTGCTGCTCTGTCCCTCGAGGGCTGCCTGGCCACTGCCCCTTGCCCCTTCTCCACGGGGCTTCACTAAGCATTCTAACCGCTGGGGCTGCTTCATCTCCCCTCCATAAAGTTCAAGCCACTATAGGCATCATTTCTGTTTTAAAAAAAAATCTATTAAAGTTTGACCATTTGACATTTTTATAGTGATTGCCAACTTTAAAAAAAACACTGATGCTGTTCTCAGAGAGTAGAATGGTGCTTCTAAATCACCTCTGTATCTGTTTCTTCTCTGGGGACAGTAGACTGTTGAAATAAAATAAGCAGTAGAAATTGTCGTGGAAGGTTTATTCTCTCTTTAAATCCTTGTTGGGAGGATGGTGTTGGGTAAGGGGTCGGGTCGGGGTCTGGCAAGTCCCTCCTAACCTGCCTCCCCTCTCCCTTTGCCTCTGTTAGCCAGCGAGAGGCTTGGGCCAGGCTACTAGATTTCTGACTATCATTATTATCGGTATTATCACCAATTTTTTTTTTTTAAAGATTTTTATTTATTTGAGACAGAATGAGAGAGAGAGAGAGCACATGAGAGGGGGGAGGGTCAGAGGGAGAAGCAGACTCCCCGCCGAGCAGGGAGCCCGACGCGGGACTCGATCCCGGGACTCCAGGATCATGACCCGAGCCGAAGGCAGTCGCCTAACCAACTGAGCCACCCAGGCGCCCCAATTTTTTTTTTTTTAAGCAGTGGAGACCTTTTGAGGAAATCTGATGCAGACCCAAAATATAAAGATTTCTTTTGGTTTCCCTCACCCAGCTGTGGGGGTGGCAGAGAAGACCTTCTGGAGAAGTTGGGGTCTCAACTCCCTCTTGAAGGTGAAAGTAGGCACTCCCAGTAGGGGGTTGCACAGAGTAGGGGACTAGAGTGAAGGATTCTGGGTGACAGACCATGTCTTGTTCTCTGTCCAGGGAAGGACTGGCAGTCAAGAGAACAGGCCGAGCTGCCTCCTGCCTGGCCTATGGGCGGGGGTGTCCCAGCACTTGTCCCAGGACAAGTGGCAGGAGGATCGCTGAGAAGTGATACTTGGCTGTTCTCCCGACATCAGTGCGGCGGCTGGGCCTGGGCCTGCTCTGTTGGAAAGCACTGGAGCAGGGTACAGTCCTAGGAATGTTTCAGTTACTGCTTTACGGACGATTCTTCCAGCGGGGCCGTCCTACGTATGCCAAGGCCTGTAGGTCAGCATTGGCTTCAGTCTGGACCAGATGATGTGATTTTGGACTAGCCTGGTTTTGCAGCTGAAGCTCCTCCCACCCCAGCCCTCCCCTCACAACAGTGCTGGTCCTGCCCCTGGGTTCACAAGACCGCAGGAGCCCTGGTTTCCAGTTGGCCCCGTTCCCCCTGACCTCATTGGACCCTGGCCTGTCAGTATGGCCAAGTAAGGCTGGATTAGTGCCCCTACTTATTCATTACACTTTGTTTTATTTTAGACTCCATGTTTTGAAAGATTTTTCAACCAAGCTGCATTAAAGTACTTCTGATCAATGCACACAGAGAGGTATGAGAGTCTGACCACATGGACTCCATAACATTCCAGACCAATGCAAGGACACAGGATGTTTATTTAGCCTGTGGGGTTTGCGATTGGAAGCTCTGGCCTGCTGAGAAGGGCAGTGTCCTGTTGCTGGAGTCCATGTCCACAGGGCTCCACAGAGGGGACAATTGCTCAGTTCTCCTCCAGGCCTATGATCTGATGAATCTCTGCAGACTAGCATCTTTCCTGGAAACTTGCCAAACGAGGTGAAAAGACAACCGTGGGGCAGGGTTGGAGACTTGCCTTCCTCCCTTACCCCTAGTGTGAAGCCCAAGTTCTGATAGCCCCAGCTTGTTCTCACCATGCTTGCTTACCTCGGAGGGGTCACTGGGCCCCTGCTCTCTGTAGCCTTCCCAGTCAATCCAGTCTGTACTCCCTGAATGCCCTATTCCTCCAGGCTGTCCTTCAGCAGCAGTGGCATGAGCACTGAAACACCAGATCTGTGCATGTTGCTACCTTGCTCACACACCTTCTATGGCTCCCTACTGCTCTGGGGCCAACATCTTCAACACAGTCTGCCTGCCCACCTCTCCAGCCTCCTCTCCTCACAGGCTGGCCCAGCCTGGTCTTGCAGGAGTAGAGTCTGCCAGGTCCAGGCAGAAAAGTATGGGAAGAGAGAAACGGAGCCAGCGGCAGCACTACTCATCCCTAACGACTGAGGCTTGGCTATAAGCTAGGGGAATGTTCTGGAAGGCAGCTGGCTGGCATTGCCTGACGGCGGATGTACTGTCAGAGCGCCGCCAGGAGGGGGCGGGCGGGCAGCAACTGTGGGCGGGGCCCGTTGCCTAGCGACTGGCCACAGAGAAGCACGCAGGTCCGATGCCGGCGGAGCCAAAGGAATAGTTTTTCTGCAGCGCCGGGCTTGAAGCGCCCCCCAGAGACTTGGGATCTCCCGGGGAGATCAAAATGATGAGCCTCTAGGCTGGGCTGTGTGATTGCCAACTGCTCAGCAATCATCTTTGCGCTGCCCTGCCTGTGAAATAGGTGCCCTTCTGTCTTCAGACACCAGTCCCAACCCCAACGCCCGTGTCCCTTGGCTTATTCCTCTCCTTTCTGCACTTTCACGCATGCGGAGTCCTCTACCTAGACTCCTTCCAGCTTCACCTACTCATCTTAGCTCTGCTGCCCCCTCCTCCAGGCCAATTCAGCTTGGGTTAGGAGGCTTCTGCAGGGCCTGTCCAGGCCCTCTGTCACCCTTTCTCACCCGGACCCCACTGAGTAGATGTCCCTCCTCCCACGAGTCTTCGAGCTTCCTGGAGGCAGAGACAAGGTGTCATTTGTCCCTGTGTCCCCAGCTCCCAGTGTGGGCTCAGCATCGGTAAGGCAAGTACTATCGAGTGCCTGTTATAGAGCGAATAGCTGAATCTCAGGGTCACTTTGTGCATTTGGGGTGGAGAGTTGAGTTGCCCTGCCTCTGGCCACCCACCGCAGCATCTTTTGCCTTACGTTTGTGCTCTGTCTGCTGGGAGCCCACACGGGGCAGAGGAACAGGGAGTGAGCCTTTGCTGAGACTACACTGTGTGCCAAGCACCACACTCCTTCCCTCACTGAATCCTCACAACAAGCCAGGGAAGAGGTGTATTACCGCTGTTTGATGAAGGAAAGTGAGGCAAAGAGAGGGATAGTGATTTGCCCAAAGTCACATAGCTTCTAAGTGACCAAGTGGGTGCAGAGGGCCACATACATCCGTAAGCACAGTACAGAGTTTTTACTATCCATTTCTCCCCGAATTACTATCTTTAGATTTGTTTTTATTTTTATTTATTTTATTTTTATTTATTTATTTTTTGTTTTTAAAGATATTTATTTGAGAGGGAGAGAGAGAGAGAGAGAAACAGCATGAGAGGGGAGAGGGTCAGAGGGAGAAGCAGGCTCCCCGCTGAGCCAGAAGCCCGATGTGGGACTCGATCCCAGGACTCTGGGATCATGACCTGAGCCAAAGGCAGTCGCTTAACCAACTGAGCCACCCAGGCGCCCCCAGATTTGTTTTTAAGTCAGGTGAACGCACCCTAGTTTCCGAGCAGATTCTAACATAGCATAGGGAGAGCGGCCTAAGGACATTTGCCTCTTGCAACCACTGCCTCCTCTACTAACCACAGCACACAGAGCCCCTGAGAAAACGCTAAAGCAGGCGTCATGGTGACCGGGGTGGAAAGGGCTCTTGGGATCTCCGGGCCTAAAGGTGGTCAGCATTTGCTGGTGCCTGAGCTCTGGTCGTGGCCTGGCGTTCACCATAAGCACCATTGTGTGAGCCAGGACTGACAGAGTGCCTGTTCTTGGGGTTTGTGTGGAGCATGAGGTGTGTCTTCTAAGGCTGGACTAATAGGTTTGGTCCCCAAAACCCTCCTGGAGAACTCTCCCACCATGACACCCTCCTCCAGTCTTCCTGGAGAGTGGGGGTGTTCTGCACCCTCTTGTAGACAAAACACACCCTTCGGGGCCCGGGGCAGGGGACGAGATCCTCTCTCTGCAGCTCTGGGGATCCTCACATCTCCTTCCACTCCTGGGCGCTGTAGTCTTGGTGGACCTGGGCCTAGGTTCCTCTTACTGGGTTGCTGCTCAGAGACCCTGGATGAGTCATGGCCTCTTCTCCTTGGCCAAGGCTCAGGGTCTTCAGGCCCTGCTCTTCCTCCTTGCCTTTCCCTAGCTGTGTGTTCTTGGGCACAACCCATATCCTCTCTGAGCCTCCCTTTGTCCCCTGTAACATTGGTTCAGGGGCGTGCTGAGAACGCAGGTAGCTCTTGCAGGAAATACCACCTCTGATGCCACCTCGGTGTAGGGTGTATGTGGTAACTGTATCGTCGGATGATTGTCAGCAGCCTTTTCTTTAAGGCTGTGTCAGGTGGTGAAGACTTGCAAAGCCCACTATCTGTGGCTCTTTACTTCCTGGTGCTCCCCATGTACCAGGCACTGTACTGAGCACCTTCCACAAATTCTCTCT